TGCTCATCTTTTCAAAATTCAGGTAAGTGATTTTTTCTTTTCTCCGTTAGTATCTCTTGATTCGTTTCTTTTGTGCGGTTTACCAACCTGCTGTAGGTTATTTAAAGCCAGAAAATATTTTTAGATTGTAAGAATTTTTTTTGTTTTGAGATTAGAATGATTTAGTGATACACGTTTTACTAATTAACCCATAGCTGGGGGAGAAGTGATGGATTCATGCCTAATCAGGAATTGATAATTGGTTGGTTGTTTTGTTAAGTATGTGTTATGTGACATTACCTATAACGATAATGGACTCTTCCTGACACTATAAATACTGCGCCTCTCAAGAGGTATAATGAATGAATGATGTAACGAGCACCAGGTCATGACTGTTGAACTCTCTACTCTGGCAGAGAGGAACCCGGATGAAGCTTTGCCGAAGGGCAGGGTTTCGTCCGGGGAGGTAGACAGGCCCTGAACCCGTCTAGGCGGGTTCAAAGGGTATATTTTTGGCCGAGCCTACAGGCTCGGGAAACCCACGTTAAACTTGGCCTTGTGCCACATACAACCCTCGTGGAGGGGGGCTAGATACCTAATGAATGGTGTAACGAGTCAAGACAATATTATTTCACTCTAAACCAGATGGACAGTCATTATTAACACCTTCAACTTCTTGTACTATATTTCTGTTGTAATAGATCTTTGTTATTCTACTCTTGGGTTCATGTTGTTCTTCCTTGGTTCTAACCTTGGACCATAACTGTGGTGCGAGAATATTGGACCATAACAATGGCGACGAGGAACTGAAGAAACGAATTCTACGCGGAGGACAAACCGTTTTGCTATCCGTCGCCCATAAGAGTATGTCATATGGATTAATGTCAGGAAAGAGATTTTTCATGTTGGTTGGTTGATCTTGTTTAGCGGGAGATCAACACTTCCATGGGTTATTTAATGGCGAAATGTAAATATTTTGAACGCATTTACAGATATTTTGTATGTTTTTAGATATACCGGGTGTAACAGCAAAATTGTCCAAATCGTGCAACAGCATAGGATAATTTTTCATCACAAAATGTTTAATATCTAAAAAAAAAACACGAAACCAATAAACTTTTTTTCCAGAATTTCAGATAAGACGTTTAGCCATCTTGACACCATTTGTCGTTAGAATCACTGAAAAACACTTTGAGCTATTCAGCTAGAAAGAAAACAGGTTAAAATTGTTTTGTGTCAGCCTCACTATGCCTTCCCAAGTGAGCAATGCTGAGAGGAAAACGATCATTCAGGCCTTCAGTAATGGTAGCGACATTCATACTCTGGCTCCCATCTTCAAAGTCCATTCAAGAACCATCAAAAGAACGTGGAATAAGTTTAAAAAAAGAGGGAACAGTTGAGAGGAAAACAGGATCAGGAGGTCACAATAGGAAGAGGGATCATCATTTCAACTTATAACTAAAGAGATCAATTAGAAAAGATCCAACTCAATCCATAAGACGTTTGGCACGTGAGAGAGGAGTTTCAGCTATGACAGTATAAAGTGCAATGAAAAAAGACCTGAATATGAAATCGTACGTGAAACCTGTAAGCTACCTTGTTACTCAAGAACAAAAAATTAGAACGTTAGAGAGGGCAAAGATCATCTTGAATAGGTTGGAAAATGAGCCTGGAATATATATATATATATATATATATATATAGATAGATAGATAGATAATATTAGTGGAAAATATACATACATATGAAAAATATATATCTAAAAAATTTCCATACATGTATATTTTCAGAAAAAAAAAATATATATATAATAAAAAAAAATATATATATATATATATATATATATATATATATATATATATATATATATATATATATATATATATATCTCATTTTTCATTATATAGGAGGCACGGTTGAGTATTGGATATCAGCTTGGATTGAGGAATCGGAGAGCTGAGTTCGAATTCCAGTCGAATCCATTACATTCACTTACTTGCTAATACCCTTGGGAAAGGTATGAATCCTCTTCTCTCTCCAGCTATGGGTAAATAGCAGGACAGAGTGGGTTCTATAGCCTTGGATGGCAACTGATCTAGGAGAAGGACAACTCTGAATTCAAATCCTGCGGAGGGTCGTTTGAGGACCCTGTGGCACGTAGTGCACCAGGTCTCTGTATTCGGCCCTTCAAGAAGTGTGGCTGGTCCTGCACGTAGCCTTCACCACTATAATCAATTCTCATGTGCGGTTGTCGGGCTGTCGGTTTCCTGGGAACTGATCTGCTTGACCCTCGTACGTCGGATTCAACGGAAGAGTCGAGCTAGCAATATATATATATATATATATATATATATATATATATATATATATATATATGAACTTAATTTCAATCTTTCAAGGGCTTCCGATCCTTAGCTATGATTAATTAATGATGAACATGTCATTTTCGTTTATAATCGATTTCATCACGATTCTTCTGTTAAGTTTTGAGAGTAATTATACATTCTTATTGCTCAAAGTAGAGGCTAATAGTGTTATAAAAACCTGAGAGAATTCCAGTAATATATCTTTAATCATTTCTTAGATACAATGGTTCAAATCTTAACCTAACAATTAGACAATTTTTCTGTTATATGATTTGGATAATTTTGCTGTTACATCTGATATTGTTTGTAGATGATAAAATATACTATTGGTAATTTTACTATAAAAATGTATTTTTATACTTTAGTTCTGTATTGATTGTCATTTTTCTATAAAAATAGATTACTATTGGTCCTTTCTTTTAATAGATATTTTGCTGGTATTTTTACCATAACGTATGTTTATACTTTATTAGTGAACAACCAAAGAAAAATCAAAGGACTATTTTCCCATAGATGTGACGCTAAAAGTCAGGGTTGACTTGGAAGCAACAGGAATTAAGAGGTGTTTCCACTCTCTTCAAAACCTCAAATCTCTCGATCAGATGCTGCCGAATTTAGTTTATCGTCATACCCAGGACTACAGAATTTGAAAAACAAATAAGAAATTATAATGTGAATATATAAAGTGGGAGATTAAGTCTATGTTACAAACCATCCCTCTCTTTGTGGACATTGCAGTTTCTATACATTTATATTCCCGGGAATGTAAATAAATCTAAAACACATGCCGACAAGAAATTATAATTTGGATATAAACTGGGGGATCAATTCTATATTTAAATCTATATATAAACTGACCCCTCACTTTGTGGCCAGAGTAGTTTCTATACATTTCTATTCCCGAGAATGTAAATAAATCTAAAAAGACATGACTGTGTAGCTAATTAGTATTTCATTGACTGGTTGATTCGTTTTCGATGGGTTATCAACCCTTTGCAGGTTATTTAAAGTCAGAATATATTTTTAGATTGGAAGAATTTTTGGTGATAACAATGAATTACTTATGCAAGTCCTACTACTTAATCAACAGATGGGGGTGAAGAAGTGAATTCATACCTTTCCCGAGGGCAGTTGTACGTAAGTGAATGTAATAAACCCGACCGGAATTCGAACTTGACATTTTCAGAGTGGTTATACGGTTGACATAGAAGATTGCTATGCGACGATAATGGTCGCGGAATAGCAGACGTAGGTCGTAAGTTCTGTGAAGTCATACCACGTGAGAGACCGAAATATTAACAACAGAACCATGTGCCTAAATGCAATGTAATGGATTGGGACTAGTTTGAAATTATCCTTATGGTCACATAGCAATCTTCTATGTTAGCAGAATATCATCTTTGATGGTGAATATCTTTGTTTAAATGTCCGTATAACCACTCTGAAGATGGTTCATGGCAGCCGAAACTTAGATCAAGGAACAGCTTAATAAAAAATATCCAAATGTTGGACAATTTTTGTCTTTATTTTCACCCTAAATTAAAACAAATATACGGAGTTTAGAGCGGCTCATATTCAAACATAACAGACATTCATTGTTATATTTAACATATATATATATATATATATATATATATATATATATATCATTTATTCGAAAATTATAACATGAATATGTTATAAAATCACTACAAAAATAGCCATTTTGTTTCAACACTTCTGGTGTCTTGTCAAGTGATGTTGTTGAATGTAGAATAGAGGGTTTTAAAAAGTTCAAATCAATCCTGATTGATTTGAACTTTTTAAAACGCTTTATTCTACATTCAACCTTTAATTATCATTCAACACCATCAAAATGGCTATTTTTGTAGTGATTTTATAACATATTTATTTTATAATCTTCGAATAAATAATTATATTTGTTCTACTCTTTATTGAGCACTGTAAAAAATTCTAAAAAAATCCATATATATTGATTGCAACACATGATTATTTATTTCGTTTTTTTTTTTCTTTCCTTCCCCAACTCGCAATCTAAAAACATATCTGTTGTGGCGAAGCTAAGCAAGTTACCAAGCAAAAACTAACCAAAGACGTTCTAAAATCTTGAAGCACCTCAGAAAAGAAAGGAATCCGAAAAGGGCTATTATTACACAAATCTTTCAACCAAGCAATATCATTAGAATGTTACAAATTACATATACTCACAATAAAAGGCTATCATACCGGACCCCTAAAAACTTAGCTGGTTAGTCGGTCAGCGGTCAGCACTAAATGTCCCTAACCGCAGCTTTGAGTTTTGCAATAAGGAGATGGTTATTCGCTATACGCTCTCTGGCAGGTATGTTACCTAATTCATTTGTCAGTGGTCGGAGTTCAATAAAATTAATTTCATATTTACTCTCTGTGCACATAATCGAAATAAATATATCAATTTCGTTTCGCTTTGGGGAGGGGGTGATTATTGCCAACTTTCTCGTTCAGGCACAAGCAGCAGTCGTCAAGGGTCGTCGAAAGAAACCAGCAAGCGTATCAGTTAAGCAGGACCGACTTTTCCGGACCAATGGGTCTACTAACATTGGCTAACTGAAATATCGTAAGGCCAAACTATTAGGTAAGGTACAAGGACATCTATTTGAGATCTGCCATACGAGTATGCTTAGGTAATTCGGAAATAAAGATTCAGAGAAAACGTGAACGATTTTTTCTCTTTCTTTCTCTCTCATCGCTCTCCTTCTCTCGTCTTCGTTCTTTCTTTCTTGCACCCTGAGCGGTCTCCTTGCCTCACCCACCTTCTTTCTTTCTTTTTTTCTTTCTATCTTTCTCTTCGCTCTCCTTCACCAGCTCTCTTTCTTTCTCCCTCTCTTTCTTTCTCTCTTTCTTTCTCTCTTACACTCTCGTTGCTTCCCTACCATCACACACCAATTTTCTCTCTTTTTTCTTTCTTTCTTTCTTTCTTTCTTTCTTTCTTTCTTTCTTTCTTTCTTTCTTTCTTTCCACCCTTCTGACATCTACTCTTTTTGAATAGTTTTAATCTTTTTCTTTCTTTCTTTCTTTCTTTCTTTCTTTCTTTCTTTCTTTTCTTTTAGACTTTCTTTCGTCATCTTTCTTTTTTTTTTCTTCCTTTTTACTTCTCCTTTCGCTCGTCATCTTTTTCTTTCTTTTTTCTTTTTCTTTCTTTCTTTTTTCTTTCTCTTCTCTTCTTCACCAGCTCTTTCTTTCCTTTCTCTCTTACCTCTCGCCCTAATATCCACACCAATTTTCTCTTTTTCTTTCTTTCTTTCTTTCTTTCTTTCTTTCTAAGAATTCTTTCTTTCTTTCTTTCTTTCTTTCTTTCTCACTTCTCGCTCTCCTTCACCAGCCCTCTTTCTTTCTTTCTTTCTTTCTTTCTTTTTTTTCTTTCGTCTTTCCCTTTCTATCGCACTCCAATTTTCTCTTTTTTCTTTTTTCTTTCTTTCTTTCTTTCTTTCTTTCTTTCTTTCTTTTCTTTCTTTCTTTCTCTTTCTCTCTTACGCTCTCCTTCCCTAATACCAGCCCTTTTTTCTTTCTTTCTGTTCTTTCTTTCTTTCTTTCTTTCTTTCTTTCTTTCTTTCTCTCTTTCTCACTCGACGCTCTCCTTCTCTCGCACACCATTTTTCTTTCTTTCTTTCTTTCTTTCTTTCTTTCTTTCTTTCTTTCTTTCTTTCTTTTAGACTTTCTTCCCCTCGCCCCCTTCTTTCTCTCTCTCCTCTCCTCACACACCATTTTTCTCTTTCTTTCTTTCATCTTTCTTTTTTTCCTACTCTCTCTTACTCTCTCCTTCACTCGCCTCCATTTCCCTCTTTCTTTCTCTCTTTCTTTCTTACTCTGTAAGCAACCTTCTACAATATGAAATATGATTCGGCTTTAAATTTACCAGAAAGGGTTGATAAGCAGTAAAAAATAAATCACTCAATCAATCTTCTTATCTCTACTGTTCCTTTTCTCTCTCTTCCTCTCCCTCTTTCTCTCTATATCTATTTCTCTCTCCCTCTGTTTCTTTCTCTATTTATATCTCTCTCTTCCAGATATATTTCACTTTATATCGCTCTCAACATGGCCCCTCTCTCCTTTCTCTCTCTCTTTTTCTCCCTCTCTCTCATTCTCTCTCTCTCACTTCCTCTCTCTTTCCCGCTCTTTCTTCCTCTCTTTCTATCTCTCTGTCTTACTCTTTCTCTCTCCCTCCTCTCTCTCTCCCTCTCTCAGGTACTTACGTCTATTTCACTTTTATATCTCTCTTATCTTGGCCCCTCTCTCCTTCGCATTCTCTTTCCTCTCTCTGTAAATTTCCGTATACCAACATATGTTTTTGCTGAAGTTTGTGCTGACACGTAAATCTTCCCAGCTTTTAGTCTCAGCGTAATGGGAAGGCAAAGAAACAATAAAATACGAGAACGACAGATAACACCAGACATGTTTTATAGCCCAGAAATCATTGCGCCGTAGAATGGATGAGAACGGAGCCGCAACACACCTGTATTTTCGCCTCATCCGCGCAGAAACTAGTTCAAAACACTACTTACCTGAGATTTAAAAATGTATAACATGCATGTTTGTTCGTCTCAAGAGATCGTCCTTTCACAGCACATAAAACGTGGAAATGCTCGTGCCTAATTAGAAAATTAAAACCAAAATTTTACATACAAATAATATTTTATTAGTCAAGTACACAGGCTCCATTGTATTTAAGAACTATCTGGCGTCGTTCTATTAATATGTTGTCGCCATTTTCATAGAAGATTCTGGCGTTGTTGACGCCATTTTCATAAAAAATTCATTTTTTTCTTGGAAGAAAGTCGTGGGGTAGTTTTCGACTGACCGTACGGAGTTAATTTTTTCTCATTTAAATTGTTCTGTAGAGAAATTCGGAGCCAAGCTTCTGCGGGGTCCATTTTGCAAGATGCGGTCTTGCTTTATAGTCGTGGTAAATGACACCTTTTCGATTTGCAAAAAATTGTCCGTTTTTCTTGAATAGCCACATTGATGAATTGGTCACAATAGTTCTTTGGAGTCACTGTTTCGCCGGTTGGAAGAAGCTCAAAGTGAATTATCCCCCAGCAATCCAACCAAACGGACAATTGTCGATACCATTTTCGTAGAGACTTCGTGTTTTCTGTTAGATGATATTTGTGAGATAGTTTTCGTTGAATAGGACACCTTTTCAACTTGCAAAAAATATTCCGTTTTTCTTGATTAAGATTGGTGAGTTGGTCAATACTTCTTTACGGTCATTATTTCGCCGGCTGGAAGAAGCTCAAAATGAATTATCCTTCTGCAATCCAACCAAACGGACGGCAACACCTTCATTGGATTCAAGCCCGCTTTAGCCACGGGTTCTGAACATTCAAATGTTTGCATCGAATTTTATCATAAACGACTCATTTTTCATCGCCTGTGACAATTTTGTTCGGCTGCTTATCGTAGCGTAACAGCAAAGAAATGGCTACCGAAATATGAAACATGTTCTGCTCGTGTCGAGTTTAGAAACGAAACCAAGTCTCTTCAAATGAATTTTCAGGAAAACGAGCAATTTCTAAATGACGATGCTCTGGCAATCGTTTGATCTGGTGTGCTTTAACCGTTCGGCTACAGAGAGTTTCACAATCAAGCATGGTTCTATTTTGCCTTTAAAGCATATCCACTCGTTCAAATTTTCTCGAAAGCTCATATCTGCTCAGTTTTGTATGCGAAACATAAACAAAGCAATTTCTAAAAAATTAAAATTAATTGATTTTATTTTTGAATCCAATATGTTTCATAACTTTAAACGTTATTTCTAGTGTATTAGAGTAGACGCTATGGAACTTTACAATTGGTTCCCGCCATGCCATTGACACGTACCTTATTCCCATCGTGTCCTATAAATAAGAAGTTCCACTCGGACCTAAGAACAAGACAGAAAGGGTTCCTCAGATAATTAATAGAGAACAATTTAATTTTGGAGGCGTTAAAATTAACAGTCCATTCTTTGCCCCAGTTAACAACAGGCTGAACGTTGTTTTTTGACATCAGCAGCCATTTTTCTTTATCGAACTGATCAGATTTACTATCTGGACAGAGGTAAATGGTTGTGTTACCAGCGTAGATGAATTGGCCTATCTGCGTCCTATATGCCTAATATCGAAGGTCCTCATGCACAATCCCTCCAATAGAGTACCCTTGTAATCCTGAGCTTGTTAGGCGTTAACTGACTTTCTGGGGTTCTTATCAATAATATTTTGCACCTTTCATACAAATTTGTGTGTTCTGATGGCATTAGGACCCTTATCAGGGGTTTTATGGTTAGCTACTGCTGTAGAATCCCCGTCAGCGGATACTAGTTCTTTGCGAACTTTGACAACAAACGAACTATCCCTCTGCAATCCAACCAGACGGACAGCAAAAACTTCATTGGATTCAAGCTTGATTTAGCCACGGGTTCTTTAAGCTTTTGCAAGGTCTGATTTGCACCATGCGGTCTTGCGTTGTCACAGTGGAAATGACAACTTTTCGATTTGCAAAATATCGTCTGTTTTTCTTGAGTGAGATTGGTGAATTGGTCACAATAGTTCTTTGTAGTCATTGTTTCGCCGGCTGGAAGAAGCTCAAAGTGAATTATCCCTCTGCAATCCAACCAAACGGACAGCAACACCTTTAGCCATGGGTTTTGCAAGGCCTGGTTTGCGACAAGTCGTCCGTTTTTCTTGAACAGCCACATTGTGATTGGAGAATTGGTCACAATTATTCTTTGGAGACATTCCAAACTGGAAGAAGCTCAAAGTGAATTATCCCTCTGCAATCCAACCAAACGGACAGCAACACCTTCATTGGATTCAAGCTTGATTTAGCATCGGGTTCTGAACATTCACAAGTTTGCATCGAATGTTATCATAAACGATCCATTTTTCATCGACTGTGACAATTCTGTCCAAGATTGGCTGCTTTTCGCGGCGTAACAGCAAAAAAAAAAAATAATAAAAATAATGGCTGTCAACACAAGAAACGTAATCGATCATGTTCTGTTCAATTTAGAACCGAAAGCAAGTCTCTTCAAATGGCAACATTCAGATAAGATATCGATTTTCAAACTCTTAGCAATCTCTTCCGTCGAAATCATCAGTTGATTCTCCACGGTGGCAAGCTGAACAAAGATCGCAAGAATCATATTTGAACGTTTTATATTAAATTCACCCTGACGAAATCTGCCAAACAACGTTTTGACCGTCCATCACTTTTATTGGGTCGAGGAAAACAGCGCATGACCTATCTAAGAAGCTTGTGTAAATGGATGGAAGAACAGGATTTGGGAGAGATACCGAAAAGACAAGATTTACCAAGAGTTACAAAGGACAGGAAATTGTGGAGAGCCATGATCGCCAACGTCCTGAAGGGAGACGGCACATAGAAGAGTGATTGATTTTTAGATTATAAGAATTTTGCGGGGAGGGCAGATAATAATAGTTTAGCGATAGAAATCTTACTAATTAGCCCATAGATGGGGGGCAAAGATGTGGATTCATACCTTTCCCCCGTATATAAGTGAATATAACGAACCCAACGGGAATTGGAACTCGGTTCTCTGATTAACAATTTATATTGCAATTCATACGTCATCAGAATTTGATAAAAAAAATTATAATAGTGATATAAAGTGGTTTGGTTTGGTTTGTTTTACGTCATATCAACCTCAATGGGTTATTTAATGCCGACAAAATTTTTATAGCTGCTAATATTTTGTTTTATCAAAAATCTATTTCTGGTAATATTTTTGTTTTGTTTTGTGGCATATCAACATCTCAATGGGTTATTTAATGCTGACATGATTTTTATTTCTGGTAATATTTTCTTTTTTCAAATATTTATTGCTGATACTATTTATTTTTTTTTAGAAAGTATTTCTCGTATTAAAATCTATTTTTACACTTTCATAGTGTTTTGAGTCGGGTTGTGGGATCAACTATTTGCCCATTGCTGGGACCCTAACAGGTTCTACCACCCCGGGTCAGGGAGGATCTAGGAACACCAGCAATTAAGAGTTGGTTCCATGCTCCTCAAAACCTCCTGATGCGAGGCCTTGCTGTTGGATGTAGTTTAAAGTCTTACCCAGGACGCTGATGCAGTTTATCGTCATACCCAGGACGTTGATATAAAGTGGGGGATCAATTCTACATTACATTAAATATGTATACTGATCCATCATTTTTCGGCCACTGTTGTTTCTGTACATTTACATTCCAGAGAATGTAAAGAAATCTAAAAGACATGCCTACAAGGAATTATAATGTGGATATAAAGTTGGGGATCAATCCTATATTACAATCAGTACATAAACTGATCCTCACTTTGTGTCCACGATAGTTTCTATACATTTATATTCCAGAGATAAATCTAAAAAACATTCCTGTGTAGCGAATCAGTATTTTGTTGATTGATTCAGTCGTTTTCCACGGCTTATCACCCCTTTCAAGGTTATTTAAAGCCAGAATATTTTTTAGATTGTCAGAATTTTTTAGATAATAATGATTTAGTGATATACAATTCTTCCTAATTAACCCATAGATGGGGGAGAAGGCGTGGATTCCTACCTTCCCTAATGGTATTTGCGTGTAAGTGATTATAACGAACCCTACAGGAATTGGAACTCGGCTCTCCGATTAACAATTCCGAACCTTTATGCATTACACCACCTGCACAT